TGAAAGAGACGGAGGAAGCCCACGCTTTGGATCTCACGCTGCGTGAGAAGAATGCGAAACTGAAGCTCCTAAGGAAGATGATGAGTTTGAAGATCGGATTTAACGTGGAGGAGGAGTTCCAGATCGTGAAGGAGCAGGCAAAGAAGGCTTACGAGGAGAAGATGACATTCAACGTGACGGGGATCAATTGGGAAAAACTGGGGTTTAAGCCGACCGAGTTGTCGGGGTCTGAATCACACTAAGAATGGAGATCTCCATTCTATTTGTATTTTATTTTATGTTATTGTATTGCAATACTTTTTTTTTTTTTTTGAATCTATGTTATTGATAATATGTTAATGAATCTATGTTACTGAATCTATTTGTGCAGAATAGTTCAATCACATTTTGTTTTTAAGATTTTAGTTGTTGGATGATAATATTAAAATTTGTACAACATATGAACAAATAGTCATGATCTTATACTAAAAGAGTTTTAAATATGGAAGTCGATTAAAGAAACATAAATATAAAACACTAATAAGAGACAAAAACAAGCCTACCAAAAAAAAAAAGAGACAAAAACAAAATGCTTATATATATATATATATATATATACTTTTCTTTTCTCCTAGAATGTACACATTTTTTTTTACATCAATAGCTCTATTCATTAGTGGGAAATTTTTAATTATTAAAAAATAAAATGAAATTTCAAAATATGTGGCTATTATTTGAACACGTTTAAAAGGTAGAGATTTTGTCTATCTTGTACATAAATCGCCGACAAAAACCTAATAAGATTTAAGAAAATAAATAACTCAGATAATTCGAACAGATTGAGTAAAATGAAAAAAACAACAAATTAAAATCTCAGATATGGTTCGAGATGGATTCTAATATGTTGGTTTCAAGATTTTAAAGTTGATTGCTCCGTGGGTGCTGATGTTTGGGTGAAATATTTTTGTTTTGAATCCGACCTTTGGCGGCTTGAGAAGATAGTCTGGAGGAAAATGAATGGTGAGGAAAAAAACTCCCCCTGCATAGGGACTGGAGGAGGGTGGCGTAATAACTGAATGGCGTTACTTAAAATAATTATTTTTTGAAAATCCAAAATAAGATTCATATATACAAATTGAGAATTTCGAAAACACTTACAAAGTGCCTATGAGGATCAAATAAATGGATCTCCTATGATGTCTGAATATATTATATCACTACGTTAACAGTACACTAGTAGCAACATATAGACCGTGGTAGATTCAAGAAAATATATAAAACCATAACATCAAATACTCGTTCGCAGTAAGCCTAGAAACGAAAATACATGTGGTCCAATGTGTATGAGGATCCTTCGCAATACGTTTGAGCTCTCATTTGATTATAATAGAACCTATGCTTCTTTACCAAAAGAAAGCTACAAAAGTTAGATGCATTTTATGCAGATTAAAAGGAAGCGACTAAGTGGCAGGGAGCGAACATTCTGCATTTATAGAACGGAAGAGAACCCTAAGACAGATAAGAAACCATTTAATGTTTATTTCATTGGGAATGACAAAAGGATTTTATTAGGGTTTTAAAAGATTTACAAAGGTTTTATAAATTTTAGTCGAAATTTTTGTTGGCGGGAAATTAGTGACTGTTATAGAAAGTTTTTGGCGCCAAATATTATTTTGGCGTGAAAATTTGACTTCCTCATTACCTTCTCTCAATAAAGAAGGGTAATTTAGTCATTTAATCAATAGAAAGATTTGGAGTGAGATTCATGCAATAAAACACACTACTTTGGGTCGACGGACTCCATGTTGTGAAGAAATGTTTCCTATCACCCTGATTCTTTTCGGAGAAGAAGGGTAAAATCTACAAAGGTAAGGATGCACCGGAACATCCTAGCCTACAAACACAAATCCTCAATGCGAAATATTATCTTCATGTACCCCTAGATTTTTGAAATTATTATCTAGGTTTTATAATCCTATTGATTTGTTATTATTTTCTAAAATTCATGTGTTTGGATTCTAAAATCTCTACAGTCTACTTTAGATTTTGTTTCTAATAATTTACTCACAAAACTCATGATTTTTCTCTATTTTCAAATGACTCAATATACAACGATTTTTAAAATAATTAGTTCTGTATAAAACTGGATTTTAGTGATGTATTTGAAATCCGAATGGAATATCACTAAATTTTAATATTTGTTAACGAAGATTTACAAATATAAGATCTAATAACACCATATTTTAAAACATGGTTTAAAATCATTACTAGAATAACTCACAAAACGTAAAGGTTAATCTAGTTATTTTCATGACAAAAATACCCTTTTTTGCTTTGGTAGAAGAAAAAAAAGTCAAACTTACTCTCAATAATTTTTTCAAATGTGGGTGAAAGATTTCGGAAAAAAAAAATCTTCTGTGAAAAGTCTGCGGATTTAGTTGTGAAAGGTTTATTTTTCACTACAGACTTAATTGTCTATGACATATTTTCTGCGCCATATTTTTTCTCTCTCACATACTTATTTGAATATGGTTACGATATATATTTATTTTGTAGCAGATTTTTTTCCTTCAAAGAACTTATTTTTTGATGACACCACAGACTATCGTAATTTAACGAATTTATTAGAATGTGTGGTAGAATTATTTTTTCAGTAGCGCCAGACTTATATTTCTAGGAAAACATCTGCCAAAATATAGCAGATTTGTTAATGAAAAAATAATTACTAGTTTGATTTATTAGTCATAACAAATTTATTTTACGTTATAACATTTTTTTACGTTAACAAAAAATCTGGAGTGTGATAGCAGATTTCTTATATAAACTTTTTTTTTGCTGGAATGATATATAGTCGCAACCAAAATATTTTACGTTATGACATTTTTTTTTATGTTATGACAGCATATTTCTTAAATAAAAACTAAATTACTTGAATGACCTATATAGTGACAACAAATTTGTTTTATGTTATGACAGATTTTTATTTTAAATCCTATCATGACAGATTTATAATTTTTATGTGAAGGCGGATTTGTTTTTAATAAGATTTATGTCACGGATATAGTTGTTTGACAAAAAAAAAAAAAAAGATTTATGTCACGGATTATGTTTGGCAGTTTTTTTAATAATATGCAAAATTATGACAAGATTTATGGAAATGTTGTATTAAGCTTGACTAAGGTTAATTTGTAACACCCCGATTTCAGGAATATGGTGGTGTATGTGGAGAGGTTTAAAAGAATTGATTTGGCCACTATGTCACCAAAGTGCACTTATCTTTTCGGTCATCTGTCCTGAGAGAATTCCACAGTTAAGCGTTCTTGGGCTGGAGTAGTTTCAAGATGAGTGACCTTTCGGGAAGTGATTGTCGGAACTGTGTGAGTGGGGACAAAACACAGGGAAAGATCATGTGGTGATTTGTAGGGTCGGTAAACAAGTCTTTAAAGCCTCTCGGACGTAGCGGACCGGCCGTCGGACAGGGATGGGCCCATAGGCCAGAGAGAGGACGTGAGGCCCACTGGTAGGGACGGTCATGGCGTTACAAGTTGTATCAGAGCCAAACCCAGGCGAGTGTGGAGTCAAGAGGGCTCACACTGCCGGGGGTGACGGTCTTGGTGCGCAACGAGGCCGTTGCGATCTGTTAGTGGGGGTGAATTGTAACACTCCGATTTCAGGAATATGGTAGTGCATGCGGAGAGGTTTAAAAGAATTGATTTGGCCACCTATGTCACTGAAGTGTACTTATCTTTTCGGTCAACTGTCCTGAGAGAACTCCACAGTTAAGCGTGCTTGGAGTTAAGCGTGCTTGGGCTGGAGTAGTTTCAGGATGTGTAACATTCTGGGAAGTGATTATCGGAACTGTGTGAGTGAGGACAAAACACAGGTAAAGATCATGTGGTGATTTGTAAGATCGGTAAACAAGTCTTTAAAGTCTCCCGGACGTAGCGGACCGACCGTCGGACAGAGGTGGGCCCATGGGCCAGAGAGAGGACGTGAGGCTCACTGGTATGAACGGTTGGGGCGTTACATAATTAATTTTTTTACACAAAATTTGTGTTAGTCTAGTTATTCATTTCAAATGGGAGTCATTCTAGTTATTTTTGCAAAGTTTTGAGTTGATCTAGGTAAATTTCATACATATAAATGATATGAAGTTGTGGTTTGCGGCGGAAGTCTTGGAGAGGATCAATGGGTTTTCAGCTTGCTGGGCAAATTTGTCGGATCCGATTGCTAGTCTTGGGTTTGCTGGATGCAAGTCTTGGTTGAGCCACCATCCTTCTCCGCTACCGCGATTTGCTTCTCGCCTGACCGGATTTTGAAGTTTGGTTTGGTCCCGAAGAGGTTGCGAAAGTTCGACGTCGAAGAAAAGGTAAGTGATGAGTTCTCTCTTTGCTAAGTAGGAGATTTGAGAGATTAGGTGCCGGATGTTGGTTGGTTGATCTATTCAGGGAGAAATGCTCCGGATATGGTTTTGTTGTCGGTTTGGCTTGCGATCGGAATCGTTTACTTCGATCAAAAGGTTTGAAGTCGACAACGGAACTGCGAAAGAGTTGGTCCCGCAAACGCTGGAATTGGTAGATCTTAACATCTCTCTCCAATGAACTGTACCAGTGTCCAACTATATTTGGTGAAGTCGCTGTCGTTTATTCTTTTCTTTTGTAACCGTGTTTTGTGATGGCCCATGTGCCAAAGCCCAATTCGGATAAATAATAATATATTTTTAAAAAAAAAAGAAAAGGAAAAAAATGATCTGCTGAATTCTAATTGGATAGATTATGTCATACTTTCCCTCTGTAGTCTGTATCATAAAAAGAAAATTAAGGAAGATTTCTTACTACAAATAACACAACTTGAACCGAACCACAAAAGTGTAACTTAAAGTCAACAATTGGAGAGATCAACCGGTTCGGTTCGGACCGGATCTGTATCAAGTGCCTCGGGTTCGATACGACGCACCGTTACCTGTTTCAATTAAAACGCTATATTATATAGCTTCTTCTTCTCCTTCCTCACTCATCGATACTCCATAATCTCCTTACTCTCCAGGTTCGTGATCTTCGTTGCATTTGCTCTTGTCCTTCATCAATTTGCGATTACTCCCTTGATCTCTCTTAAACCCTAATCGTTTCAATTCGAATTCTCCAGATCTGATCCTTTTTCTTCTCATTGTCACAGATCCGAGGATTCTCTTGTTTACAGGTAATTCGATTTCGAGAATTTTAGATTTCTGTATCACTGATCGATTACGGTTATGGAATTTGATCTTGTTTGTGTTGCATTTGTTGATGATGATCGTGATTTGATTTCGTAGATTTGAAAAACGTACGTGAAATTGGATTTGTTGATCTCTTTTGGTATATAAAGCATGGCTGCTCCAGTGCCTCCAGGAGCATATAGACCTAATAACAATCCGCAAAACTCCGGTGGTCCTCCGAATTTTGTTCCTGGTTCACAAGGAAACCCCAATTCTTTAGCTGCTAATATGCAGAATTTGAACATTAATCGGCCACCTCCTCCTATGCCTGGTTCTGGTCCTAGACCATCTCCACCTTTTGGTCAGTCACCACAATCTTTTCCTCAACAACAACAACAACCTAGGCCTTCTCCAATGGCTAGACCTGGACCTCCTCCTCCTGCTGCAATGGCGAGACCAGGTGGACCTCCTCAGGTATCGCAACCTGGCGGGTTTCCGCCAGTTGGAAGACCCATTGGTCCACCTTCTAGTCAGCCGCCGTTTGGTTCCAGACCATCGACTGGTCCGTTGGTTGGTGGTGGTTCGTCATTTCCTCAGCCTGGTGGTTTCCCAGCTTCAGGTCCACCAGGAGGTGTACCTGCAGGTCGTCCTTCGGGATCACGTCCAATTGGTTTTGGTTCACCTCCACCTATGGGACCTGGCATGTCAATGCCTCCTCCCTCTGGCATGCCTGGCGGTCCGTTGAGCAATGGGCCTCCTCCCTCTGGCATGCCTGGTGGTCCGTTGAGTAATGGGCCTCCTCCCTCTGGCATGCCTGGCGGTCCGTTGAGTAATGGGCCTCCTCCTCCGATGATGGGTCCGGGGGCATTTCCCAGAGGATCACAGTTCACAAGTGGTCCTATGATGGCTCCACCGCCTCCCTATGGACAGCCTCCTAACGCAGGTCCTTTTCCAGGAAATTCACCATTATCTTCGCCTCCTGCTCATTCGCTGCCTCCACCAACAACTTTTCCTGGTGCCCCTTACGGCAGACCACCCATGCCAGGAGGCTTTCCTTATGGAGCACCACCACAGCAGGTACATTTATTGAAGCTCATTATGTATGTTCTTGTCTAGCAGTAATTGCCCAGTCGACTTATGAATTGATGAAACATGACATGCCTTTATAGAGATGAAAGTGAAACCTATTCTTGATGTGACTTGGGGATCTTTCCAGAAGGGAACAATATTTCTTTATGGATCTTTCAGTCTAGTACTAGAATAGGGGACAATTTATGTAGTATCTTTAAATTTTTGCCTTTCTTCTATTTCACAACTGATGTGTTTCCTTTGTGTGACTCGTTATTGGTAGCTACCTTCTACTCCTGGCACTCCTGGTTCAATGTATAGCATGGGTCCAGTGCCAAATCAGTCAATGACCTCTGTTTCTAATTCTAGCCCCTCAAAGATTGATCTTAATCAGATACCAAGGCCAGGTTCAAGCTCCAGTCCAATCATGTATGAAACTCGTGTGCAGAATCAGGCTAATCCTCCACCAGTAAGTCATATAATTCTAATTTTTGAAATTACTGTTTGATCTTACGTGAGAGTGTAAAACTGCTATTTATTTCCCCTGAATCTCTTTTTTTTTTTTTTTTTTTTTTGTGAAGCCTACTACTGTTGATTATATTACTAGGGACACTGGAAATTCCAGCCCGCGTTACATGCGATGCACAATCAATCAGGTAACTGTAAAGCGAAATGTCTTGAGCCAAATGTAATTCTCTGTGTTTGAAGTATTGATTTACTGTGTCTCTTGACCTCGGATATTGATACCTTGCTTCCCTGTATCCACAATAGATCCCTTGCACTGTTGATCTTCTGTCTACATCTGGTATGCAACTGGCGTTAATAGTCCAACCAATGGCACTTTCTCATCCATCTGAAGAGCCTATCCAAGTAACATTAAACTCTTATTGTCTTCTCTTGTATCATTGATTAAGTTTCCTGTTGAGTATAGAATCTTATGTTTTGACGGAAAAAAGAACAGAAATTAATGCTTTCTAAGAATTTTAGGAAAAATTCATGTTGACATGAACCTATATTATTGTGCAGGTTGTGGACTTTGGTGAGAGTGGCCCTGTTAGATGTTCACGTTGTAAGGGCTACATGAATCCTTTTATGAAGTTCATTGACCAAGGAAGGAAGTTCATATGTAACTTGTGTGGTAATTATTACTGTTTCCGTATAAAAAAGCCATAGATAATGAGTTACTGCTATATCAAGTGCAATAATGAGTACCAAGTTATGAAAGAAACTAGAATTACTCTACGCTAGAACTAAAATCTGGTTTACTTTACTGATTTGAAATAAATATAATGTGAATTTGGAATTCACCTAGAATTTGGACACCCTATGAATTGCTATCATCCTAATCACTTTAGGATTTTGATAATGTGGAATGTAATTGTGATCCATTTTCTCATCAACTGTCTTTGCACAGGATACACTGATGAGACTCCTCGTGACTACCAGTGTAATCTGGGTCCAGATGGTAGACGTAGGGATGCTGATGAAAGGCCTGAGCTGTGTAGGGGAACTGTTGACTTTGTTGCTACAAAAGAATATATGGTTAGTTTGTGAACGTTTCTGATTATTTTATGCCAAAATTCTGTGATGCCTTTATTAGATGTCAGTATCCTTTTATCGGCTCTCAGACAAAACACCAAAAGTTTTTACGAAGTGGCCAGTACTCATCTTCATTCGATTTTCAGAAGATGGGAACTTCTATCAAGACAGAAATTGTGTTTTCTCTATTATTGCGACACCTCTTGCTAATGTTGATCCACAAATTAAAACAACTTTTGAAAACATTAAGTTTTGGTTTTGAGCTAAGAGATTGAGTTTCTATGCGGGAATGTATGATGATTATATATTTATATTTGCTTGGTAATGCGAAGCAAGCTACTTTATCCATTGCAACCGGGTGAAGATAAATATCAGTATTTTTTTTACAGGTACGAGATCCAATGCCAGCAGTATATTTCTTCCTCATTGATGTCTCAATGAATGCGATTCAAACAGGTGCAACTGCAGCTACTTGCAGTGCAATCCAGCAAGTCCTCTCAGACCTTCCTGTAAATTTTCTCGCTCTTTCCAATGATAGACATGTATTTTTAATTTTTAATTTTTTTAAACAACTGAGTTGGAAAATTAGGCTAGGCTATAGTTACTAGAGTAATGATAAATGTACATGTTTTGTTTTATCATTATTTTAAGAAATTCTTGTATGCATTTTGCAGGAAGGTCCTAGGACATTTGTTGGAATTGCCACATTTGATTCAACAATTCACTTTTATAATTTGAAGCGTGCACTGCAGCAGGTGATTTGTTACATTATTTTTTCCTTGTTTCTTTTGCTAAACTATTCAAAAGGGGAAATGGAATTATCTTTTTCTGCGGAGAGTGGAGACCTTTCTTCCTTTAGTATCGTAGATGTGAAGATGTTATCTTGCGGCAAAGAATTCTTTTCTGTCACTTGGCTGAATAAATTTATACTGTTTTGTTTTCTTCACTTGAAAGCCACTTCCCTGTTGTTATAGTTTTCCAGAACATGTGCTCTTTTCTTGTTAGAATAAGGTTTTGCTGGATTCCATGTGAATTTGATTTGTTCTGCTTACATGCAGCCGTTGATGCTCATTGTTCCTGATGTTCAAGATGTGTATACACCTTTAGAAACAGATGTCATTGTTCAGCTATCTGAGGTAAGCTCTTGTCATTGTTTTGGGTGCGCCGCCCTGCTTATATTTTTTACAGTGCCAATTCCTAATCTCTTTCTTATTCTCTGTTATTCTACTCGAATTCAGTGCCGTCAACACCTAGAGATTTTGCTGGAAAGTATCCCAACAATGTTTCAGGAAAGTAAGAGTCCTGAATCTGCTTTTGGTGCAGCAGTTAAGGTATGTGGTTTCCTAATGTAAATGCGTAATTATAATTGGATGCAGTTAGATGGTATCCTAAATTTTACTAGTTGACTAATTAGTTAATCATTTTTGAAAATCAATAAAGGAAGTTAAGTTGGTTTTGTGGGCCAATTGGCCAATCACTTTTAGTATAATCACGATTTTCTTTTGGCAAAATGATGAAGATTACCTCTAGTACTCTCCTTGTGCCATTGACTAATGTATCTACAATCTTTTTCCTCCTAGGCCGCATTCTTAGCGATGAAGAGCACTGGAGGAAAGCTCATGGTGTTTCAATCAGGTCTGCTACTTATTCTGTTTGGGCCATCATTTTGAATGGGTCTATATATCTTGAATCTATGCACCTTGATGATTATGTATTTTTTCTTTAGTACTAGCTCATTCTTTTTCTTACTTGTCCTTCTGTTTGGTACCTGTATAACTTAAATGATATGATTACCATCTCCTCCATAGTTTTGCCTTCTGTTGGCATTGGAGCACTTTCTTCTAGAGAGGCCGATGGGAGAGCTAATGCCTCTGCGAGTGAAAAGGTACAGCTGCATTTTTTTTTTGTTTCTTATTTTGTATTCTGACTCTATGCGTTAGAGACTTAGAGGTCTTGAAGTAATAGTTTTTTAAATGCTTTTCTTTGGTTTCTTTTGCTGGCTTGTTTTGTCTAGAAACTTGACTGGCATCTGTTCCTGAGATTGCTATGTGCCATTACTGAAAGTGAATCCTCTTTAATATGATTTCAGGAGGCCCATAAATTACTACAACCCGCAGACAAAACTTTAAGGACCATGGCTATTGAATTTGCTGAATACCAGGTATACCAAAATAGATCTATGTGGGAAAAAATTAACCAATTGTGTTACAATCTGCATATCAATCATCTACTGCGTATCACTTTCTCTTAGTTGTTGCAATTTTTTTCCCTATCTAATGCATCTAGACTTGCCTCAGGTCTGTGTAGATTTGTTTATCACAACTCAAGCCTATGTTGACATGGCTTCTATTTCCGAGATCCCAAGAACAACTGGAGGACAGGTAGATTCAAATATTCTATATCCTTTCAGGTTAATACATATTCTTTTAGTTGAAAATGACTTGCTTTCTTTCCAATAATGACTGATATAACTTACATAGTTACAATAAAAAAAGGAAGCATGTGTCTATTGCATTACCGTGGCACACACATCGCCCTTCCTTAAAATTCCTGTGAAAGTTTTCCTTACATGATACGTCTTCCTGTCCTGGGGATCTTTTATGGATTTTGTGCTCAATGTTTTGATTTTAACTTTTCATTATAATTGTTTCCAGGTTTATTGCTATTACCCTTTCTCAGCTCTTTCAGACCCCCCAAAGTTATACAACGATCTTAGATGGAATATCACGAGGCCCCAAGGTTTTGAGGCTGTCATGCGAGTCAGATGCAGTCAGGTAACATTTTGTGGCAGAGAGCTCTGTCCAGGTTAAAATTCAGCTTGCGGTTATTTTGATGAATACCACTCTTGTCGATATTGTAGGGTATTCAAGTACAAGAATACTCAGGGAACTTCTGTAAACGCATACCAACTGACATCGATCTACCAGCGGTGCGTGCATCCTCCTTAAATTTACGTTTAGTTGTCTCTGATGCGTATATATCTGTTTCTTGTGTCAATACCAAAAACGAATAGTTCTTGTTTTTGTTTTCGGGACTACAGAATATTTATGTTGCTTTGTCACCTAAAACGTATAATACTAGTCAAGAGGGAAACACATTTTTTTAGCTGCAAGTTTTCCTGGAGAAGCACTTTGGTATAGATTTGTTTCTTTTTTGACGAGCCTTGAGTGCCATGCAGATTGACTGTGACAAAGCTGTAATGGTGACATTAAAGCATGATGACAAACTACAAGATGGAGCTGAATGCGGTTTTCAGGTTTACTTTGTACTCATGTCAATTGGCCATTCAAAATAGTTTGGCAAGACTCAACTTTGCTGAAATGTTGTAAAATGTTTACGTCTATTTTCAGTGTGCACTTCTGTATACCACCATGTCTGGAGAAAGAAGAATTAGGGTTCTTAACTTATCACTCCCTTGTACAAACATGCTCAGTAACTTGTTCCGCTCAGCTGACCTAGATTCCCAATTTGCTTGTATGCTGAAACAAGGTAGGTTTCTTTATTCCGTCTCTGATTCTACTGCTATTCTACTGCTGGCCATGTGATGATATTAGCGCAAAAACCCTTTCAGTGTAATATATAATCTACTTATGATATTTTTCTTATGTAGCGGCTAATGAGATCCCTTCCAAGGCACTTCCGTTGGTAAAGGAGCAAGCAACTAATAATTGCATCACCATACTACATTCCTATCGTAAATTCTGCGCTACAGTTACATCAACCGGACAACTTATTCTTCCTGAAGCACTCAAGCTTTTGCCATTATATACTCTCGGTATTTCCTTGTCACTTTTAATCCATTTGAAACAAGAATCTTACACCACTTTTAGGTTGTTTTGCTCCTTGTGTGCAAGGCGCTTTCTATGCCTTGTCTTGAATCAACAGCTAGCTAATTCTTGCCTTAAATTTATTTGTGATATTAATATACAATAGAAAAGATGTGTACTTGCATGAAAAGCGTTTAAGTACTGCTGTACTCCTTTTCTACTAACTTTTGTGACATTGTTACATGCTTGATACTGGTCATATGCGAGAGCAAGTTAGACAATTTTTTCATTAAGATGTATTTGTTTTCTTACATGCCATTAAGATGTATTTAATCCTCTGTTCCTTGATTTACGGGTACTATTCTTGCTTTGTCCATTTTTCAATGCAACTTGTGATCTCATCATTTTTCCTTTTCAGCCTTAACCAAAGGTGTGGGGTTACGAATGGACGGGAGAATTGATGACCGATCATTTTGGATAAACCATGTGTCTTCATTGTCCACTCCTTTGGCTATTCCGCTAGTTTATCCAAGGATGATTGCTGTCCATGACCTTGATGTAAACGTATGGAGCTAAACTTTTAGCTCAGGTATTGTTATTCCTTAATTTACTAATTTTCAAAAGTTTTGATGATTGTTCTATAATCTATCAGGATAATGAAGAAAATGTGGTTCCTTGTCCAATCCCATTACAAAGTGAACACCTTAGCGATGAGGGAGTATATTTTCTTGAGAACGGTGAAGATGGTTTGATATATATTGGGGAATCAGTAAATTCAGATATCCTACAGAAGCTCTTTAATGTTCACTCAGCTGCTGAACTTCAAAGTCAGGTAAACTAATCATCATCTTCGCCCATGGTATATTCTGTAGAATTTGACTGTTACCTGATTGTTGGTTCTGCACTTACAGATCATGAATTACGTACCACATTATTAAGATTTTCTAAAGTTAGCGAAACATGCTTAAAATGATACTCGTGTTTTTCTTCACAGTATGTGCTGCAAAAGTATGATAATCAGCTATCAAAGAAGTTCAATGACGTGGTGAATGAAATAAGGAGGCAAAGAAGTTCTTACCTACGGTATCAAACAAAGTCCCACTTATCTTCTTTTTTATTTCTCCTGTAGTGATTACCGTTGTAACCTTATAAATCTCTTTGTGTTCTTTCTATGCAGCCTTAAATTGTGCAAGAAAGGAGATCCAGCAGGTGAGTTAATTTTCCAAAGTTTATCAACCATTGATCCTCTGCACATTTTCGGTTAGCAGAGATTAATGTCTTCTTGCACTTTGTTTCTCTCAGGAAATATGTTGTTCCAATCGTATATGGTGGAGGACAGGGGATCGAGTGGGCCTTCGTACGTGGAGTTTCTCGTTTCAGTTCACCGTCAAATCCAACACAAACTGAACTGACAGGTCTCTCTAGTCTCCTCTGTTTCGTGTCTTGGAAATCTTAGATTAGAGGAGCAAGACAGCAGAAAAAGAAAAAGGAAAGACAATCTTCTTCCTTTGTACATACTTTCGGCTGGAAACTTTATAATTATTCTTCTAGTTCTTATGTCCTTGAGAAGTTCTATATTCAATGGAAGATAGAGAGAGAGAGAACAGAGACAGACAGGGAGAGAGAGACACAGAGAACTAGATATTCTTCTGCTTTTTTTGTGGATTTTTATTTATACAACAGTCTTTTTGTAGTGGTACTTCAGAAAAAAGGTTTTCCAATATTTACGACAGTGTTTTCTGGATCTATCTATTTTGCAATTTATTCTGTTGCTTAGACTCGAAATAGCTAGGTCGTTTTCTTCGATTGAAACAAGTGATACATTTTTGGGTGTTAAAAGCTACAAACCGATACGTAATTAATTTTCCTATCTTCTTCGTTAACATATATAAAGATAAGAGATTACTATAATGGTGGTCATATGCGAGGGCAAGTTACACATTATTCTTCTCGTTCTACTTAACTAGTGACCCTTTTGGCGATTATTGTTGGTATTCCTGGCTTTGCACTCAAATGCCGTCGGTAAATTCGCCATTAAATTGAAGAGAATAACAAGCAAAAAGCCTTGATCCAAAAAAAAGGTTCGGAACATTCATCTCCAAGATCATCCCAACAAAGATTGTTAGTTTAGTTAAAAAAAACCGACGAACGCAAAAGAAGTCACTCACTAAGTGTAGATCGTGTTCTTGCTACTTATAAACTCTCTTGTCTCCCTCTCTTGCTCAATATCAATATAACATTACTATATACATTTCAATTCTGGTTGATCCTTGTTCATAACAACGACGACACAAGTTCCCATCTTTTAATCATAAATCACCATGTTATGAAGCGTTGCATTAGCATTTTTTGGTGCAAACTTGTTGGGTGGCCAATTACGAGGCAATGGAAAAATACTAATTTAAACCAAAGGAAAAACTACAATGTTCGATCTTATTTTCTTTGGCGCCCACGCAAAATAATAAGAAGCCATATCGCCTATAAAGAGAGGCATACAACCAAACAAAAAGTCGAAAGGGGGCCAAAACTCAACGAACACTCATTTTTTCTTGTTGCCTCTTCATCTTTGAATTCTTCATGATTCAAATTCTAACGACTCAAAAAACATATCTGAGAGTGAATCGCCAAAAGGCAGGTATGAGAAGAATATAAAGTTACCGGAAAGGAAGCAAATCATCCCATTTTCACTTTCCGGGAAGGAGGCCGGCGAAATAAGCTTATCAAGTCATCCAGACCCTGTCATCATTTCCAACAAATCTCTGTTAAGTTTGCTTCCATAATTAACACAGCCGTATATGTATCGATAACTCAGTTTATTATATTTACCCGAGTTGTGATGACGAGGAAACTGAAAAGCACTATCAAGTATGATCCTAGAACCAGAAGCAAGAGCAAGTCGAAGGTTACACTCGCCACCTACAAACACAACATCAAATAGACACACCGATCAAAACAGTGGTTCGAGAAAAGAAAAAACTTGGGAGGAAAATGTGTCTGAGTAAAGTAAAGCCTCTGGTCATATGGTTACGATTTAGATTTTATGGGTTTCTCACACTATATTGCCAGCACAGTGAGAGGTATCTTCATCACATGAACAAAGCTAGTGTTATAAAAATATTAAAGAGACTGATGAATGTACCTGGTATATATTAAGGCTAGCCTTTGTTGAGTCGTAAAAGGTGAAACTTCCGTCTAAAGATTCATGTTGAACACTAACTTCAGCAGTATAATCCTCTAGTTCCTGCCAAGAGGCATCTCACGTAGTTAACACCAGAAATCATATATAATCGACGGATAGCATGCGGTAGAGAGAAACCGGACACAACATGGTGAGAGTGAGAATAGAATAGATGATATACCTTTTTCAGAGCCATGATTAATGGTTCGTTCTTTGAGAGAAACGGTGCTACCCGAGGAGTTTGTGACAAAAGATCCAACCATGATCTCACATAGAATGGATTTACAGCCAAACTACTGTCATCAGCAAAAATCTTAATGTCTTTTCCTTGGTGACCATAGATATGTTTCTGCGGGAGACAATACGTTATTTAAGTCAGTTATCAGGAAACATAACAAGAATACAAATTTCAACGTTTTGTGAACTTGAAACACATTTTCTCTTCCAACTAAATAAACGACAGAGTAAGAAGTAAATACTTGAGTTGGGTGGTTGTCTTACCGCAAGGCTTTCAGCCACCAATTTGACACCCTTAATGATAGCATCTTCATTCACCAATTGCCTGCAGAAAAAGCATCGTCGTATTTAGTCTGAAGGATAATGAAAATTCTTGATGGATAGAACAGAAAGTAAACGCTGATATAGGTTGCAGATGATTAGTTTTGTATGTGAAACCTTGTGTCAGACAGACTTCCAGCATTTTCCAGTAACTCGGGTGGAGTTGAAAGTTCAGATATTGTGGCTGCAGTTACTCTGAGTCTTGAAAACTGTTCATGCTCCCAAGCAACCTAAACAATTCAGCAACACAATTCAATCAGAAAGGGTCTTTTGTAATGAACAGCGAAAAAAATTGACGAAGAGAGAACATAGTAAAGTCAAACATCTCAAATAATCCCGGCATGGGAAGATAATCAAAGGAAGTGAAAATAATATCAATCAGCTAAGCAAAAGGTAGGTTTTTTCTTTTTGTTCAACCAGTAAAGGGTAGGTTATTATAAAGAATTAGCAATTGAAAATGTAAGGGCAGTATCTACACACTGAAGATAACAATTTTAATGCCACAAAACATTACAATTTTCAAATCATGACAGGGGAATTCCGACTATCAAAATTTCAGCACAGTTCTAACAGTTAGTTGGGACACCTATGATTTCCAGGATCGGGATGAAAAAGAGCACCCGAAACTAAGAAATACTTTTGACATCTACATCCATTCAAAATGTGGAGTATTGACTCACTCGTGAATTAGAGATATTAATCTTCTTGTGCTTCAGAGCAACTTGAAAACCCAAGTCTTCTGCCACGTTAGAGAAGCCCTGCAGAGATGCATCCATTAACCAATGAACCATCATAATAGCCAGTCATTGCAATAATCCATACAATGTTTACCTCAAAAATTTGCTTTATATAGGCGTTATCTGGAGGCTTTGACACATGGATCAATAGTTCACTGTCCCAAGACCCAACACTGTTCAAGCAAATGGCATAATCAATGCTCTCACGCATCCTCTGATCAAGGCTCTTCAGCCACTGCAGAAGATATGATGCTTAATGAAGGATACAACCAAATTTGCAAATGCACCAAATAAAAACTGCAGGAAGGATATGGTTTTAGTAGAATCAAGAAGTTAGGTCGAGTACCTTTTGAGTTCCTTCGTAGTTGTAGGGTCCACCAGATGTTAGTGCAAAAAGTAAATTGTATCTCCCTCTTGTCTTGGGATTTGAGTACAGAACGGAAAATAGTCTAGCCACTTCAAGAAGCGCCACGACCCCACTTCCATTGCTGTCACTTCCAACTGATAATGCCTATATCCAGAAGTTAGTCAGGTACTTACTTGATACTACGGTAAGATGATCCACTACTCATATTACATACCGGAGCTGCTCCGAAGGTATCATAGGATGCAACTACAGCAATTGTTGGAAGCTGGTTGGAATCTCCTTCTGCTCTTAATCCGGGTAGCCATCCCTACACACAAACCACATCGTCTAAGGCTTTCAGTATGTCAAGCATCGAAAATAAACCAGCACAAGAGAGATAGAGGGCGTAAGAGCACATATCCAGATCCAATAAGTAACAAACAAGGAGCGGCCAGATCAAAATTGACATAAAGTAATAATCTTCAATTGATCTAGGTTCAATGGTACTAAACATGAACGAATTGTACACCAAATTTCTAGTTGCTGAAAAATGGAAGATCTTAAACTGATGCTATAAAGATGATGAAAGCGAAACGATTGCTGTATTGCAGGGAGATTGGACTGTAGGATGCACAAATGCATGCTACCAAAAACCAGACCATCAGAGTTTAACAACTGAGGTGTCTACAGGCTGTCATGCTAATCATACACATCTTAAGATAGAGTCAGCCGAGGTTCCAAAACTGAATTAGCAAATAGTTGAAGACACAACAGAGAAGGTTCTGCTACTTTTAACAGATTTATCAAAGCTAGTCATGACATTATCATAACTAAATTATATGTGATGAGTTACCTGGATGTTTGTGATGGTGGGAGATGCAATTTTCCTAGGCTCTGATACAGAGATGACAAGCTTATATCTGAAAATAGTTACAGAAAGAAATGGTTCACATACTTAAATTAATGTTCAAGAGTATAGGATTCCTTGGAAATGAACAATATCATAGATAGAATGAGCATACTAAAATATTGATACACAGTTCAATAAACCTTAAAGCATCAACCTATATATTACAAGATGTGCTAGTAGACTAAGTATTTAATACATAGCTTCCCCAATCTTTGAACTGACACATTAGCATTGTTATACTCAGTTTATAACAAAAATGATATCCAAAAGGCATATCACTACAACATTTCATGTTAGTACTAACCCGCCTGTAGTAGCAGTAGCTTGCTGACCAAGTGCATCATTTTTCTTTACATCAGCCAACATAGCATCAGTCTCTTCATTCTCAAATGCGAAGTACACAGGAAACTGTAAGAATAAACAAAGGTCATCATAAGAGCTATGTAAAGCACTATACACTGTTCAACTAAACCAACACAAACGAAACAAAACACTCACAGGTATGTTTCCATGAACAAGTATCTTCTCAAGTTGAGCTAATAACTTCCTAAACCCATCATTTTCAGAATTTAGACTTCCACCACCAACATTCCCAGGCCTAAACGTCTGAGGAAGCAAAATCAACAATCCACCAAGCGACTGCTTTTGCGATATGTAATCTGCCAACAAATCGCAACACACAATGAAATCAAACTCCGATTTCAGCTCTACCAAACTAAATCCACAGAATCAAGAATCAAACCTTGAACAAAACCAATGTCAAGCTCACGAAGAGGAAGTATAAGTACAGAACGAGATAGATCGGCACCACGTTGGAAGCTAAGAGAAGCAGCATGATGATTAAGAGAAGAGAAACGAGAACCAAAAGGAACACCGGAGATATCGTACTGGATTAGACGATACACATCGACAACAGTAGCTGCATCGCAAAGCTCGACGCAAGCGACGAGTATAAGCATAAGAGCGACGATGGGATACATGGATTCGAAGACCATGACTCGATGTCTCTGCTTCGATTTCTTCTCGTCCACCATTGTTGTGGATCTAGGGTTTTGTGAAGAAGAGATCTCGGATTTGTTTTTATTTAGTTTAGTAGTGTTTTAGTAGTCACCACTAGTTTATCGTTATTTGACTTCTCTTTTTTTTTCTTTTTTTTTTTTTGGTAACAATATACAATTGTTAGATTGAGAGATGATCTATGCACGTATAATTGTTTATTAAACTACTAGTAGATAGAGTCTTCTTTCAAGCCCTCATCTATATGAAATTTAAGATTTTCTAAGGTTGGTGAAGAACATCTCACCGTGCATAGTCTCTAGACTCTTGGTGATGATCTCCCCATAGCTAAGGATCTTCCATTCCTAGGCATCTTAGAGTGATAATGATATGTCCTCTTGAGTTAGGGTTAATGTGTTCATGGCCTTTTACATTTGCCATAAGAGGCAATGTATCTTTAGGTGAGCCTATGCACATGGATCTAAAAGATTAAAGATGTAACTTTTGCTATGTTTGTATAGAAATGCCATGAGAGAGCAAGGTAACCTAATTCAATAACAAGAGAGAGCTCAAACTAATCTTGTAAAATGGCATGTGAATAACTCTTGGTTACATCTTTGACAATTACCTTGTTTTGTCAATTTCGAAACTTTATATTGGATACAATCATGGCCGGTCCAGGATTTTTGTGGCCTAAAACACATTTAAATAATATAATCTCGAACTCGAGTCATTACTCAATTTTCCGGAATACATAACCACCAGACTAAGCAAGTGTTTTAATAATGTGGCCCTAAATATTTTCTTATATTTTGGGGCCTAAAGCAAATGCTTTGCCTGTTTTATGGGTGGGTCGGGCCTGGATACAATACAACAATCAATGAGCAGAGTCGACACTGAGCACAACCGGATGAAACATTCGCTTTGGATCCCAAAATCTAATAAGTTAATATGTATAGATAATAAGATCCTCAGAACCGTAAAAATATATATAAAATCATGAGGTTCGCAAACCGTATTTGTTTTTAACCTCATAATCTTAGGAGGATCAACCCTGCTAAAGAGTTGGTAAGAGCGTATAATTGAGAATTTTGGGGTTTTGGGCTCGTCTTAAGTTCTCGAAACCAACTAAACATAAGCTTCGAACTTGAATTCTCTAATAAAAGACTGTGAGAAGGAAGCTTCATTACTATATTGATCACCCAATAGCTAGACTAAACTGATATTGGCCTGACTTGTGATATTTTTTTGTGGACCATGTGTATATGTCGTCACATAAAAATGCCCTTTCAAATATGTATAAAAAAAATCTTATTTTTCTATAACATGACCCTAAGATAGAAAAGATTAAATAAAACAAAATCAATATGGACCATATGCCCTAGCACCTACAGCAAAGCCCAAGAACCGGGCCATGTTTGAACTCCTTTAGATTCTTAAACCCGAGACTTTCGCCTTTCTTGGAAATGATTCCTTTAAATATTTAATAACTTTTCAATTTAATTTGAACAAGATTAAGAGCAAAGTTTCGCGACTAATCTGATATTTCGCCTTATGAGGATTCTCGAATTTCTATTTCTTCTCAATATATTTTGTCAAGCAAATAGTTTATTAGATTTTTTAAGCAAATTTTGTAACCTTAAATATCTTTTTAAAATATTTTATGAGAAAATTCTAAGTGCTAACGTGTGATAAGTTCGACGCTTGAGTAAGGCATTTAGAGAGAGAGAGATAAAAAAATATCTTTTTAAAATATTTTATGAGAAAATTCTAAAAAAAACATATTTTAGATATTCCAAATGACAATTATACATTTTTAAAGTCTCATTCTCTCTTAATTTTTTTTTTTTCGTTAACAAGGAAATTTTGAGTTTTTGATCATAATCTCGGTCGATGCGAAGCAAGCTTTCAGTACTCTAAATACTATCATTGTTAAAAATTACTTCAAATGTCATTGAACTTCAGCTTTTTCTAAAACAAATGTCATTGAACAACATAATTGATATTTAAAAATCTGCATAGATATTTAAAATCTGCAAATAATAATTTTATCAATAAAATATGTACAGGGTATATATGAATACTGAATTATTAGTTAGCAAATATCTCTACATCTATTACTATATTCCTAAAAATATCCAGTATAATTGATCTTTGATATCCTCTAATCAATAATTATGTTCTTACGTACTAAGAGCCAGATATATTTGATATGTGATGATGGCATTATTTATCAATGTATTTTAGTATAATAACTTTATCCCCTGCAAGGTACCGGTCGATTTCAATTTTCTACTTAGAAATACAAACGTCGAAAAAAACACAATTGGCATGTTGTTTTAAAATCGAATCTAATAATCTTTATTAATTATAAAAGAAAAAATAATGCAAGTCAAATCATACCTAAACTTGATAGGATAAAATCCTATGCTGGACATATAACAGACATACAAATAAATAGTTATACGGTAGTTGTGGGTTTGAGAGTTACCTCATCGGTTAGTAACTCTTTTGAGGATTTGTTTGGTTTAAATGCAGCAGATGTGGTTCTGACTACGGAAATTTGTGGAAGAGAATGATTGCGATTTTAAGTGTTATTAACTTGTAACAATACACAATTTATTGTTTTACTTTTTACTAATATTCTTAGTTTCTAACCAAGTAACTAAATTCTAAATAATCAATTAGAATAATTTTTTTTTTTGTGCTGTCAAAGCAAAATAATACTAATAGAGAATTTGTTATTGGATCATAACGTGTGACATTTATATATCGTTCAACAGTCTTTAACAAAAATTGATAATTTTAATAGTATGTCACTTTGTAATATTAAATATGAAAAGCATCATGCGAGATGTAACGAATATTTTGAGTTGATTAGAGGTTCGGGTGCCAGAGCTTTCGAGATCCGAGAGAAGTTACCTATCAATTAAGGTTGTCCAAGGAGACGACCTCGGTCATGCAACCTACAATGCCTTTTTCTTAGGATTATGATGGTGCTAAGGTCCATCACATCTTGACGTGTCACGTGTCAAGTCTATCGATAAGATGTTGACGTGTGTCAGAAAAGATTTAACTTTTTTTATTAAAAATAGGAAAGCTTAAAAAAAACATATTTACATATACTAATTTATATGTCTATATCTAAAAGTTTTTAACTTTTTATTTTTTTAACCAAAAAGGAAATCTAACAATTTTTTTACATGTGTTATTGGTCAATTAATTGGCATGTATTGATTTTTTAGACCAAAAATTCAGTTAGCATGGATAGTAATTGATAAACAATGGGGAAAAATGTCATTTAATCTCCCAACTTTCAAAAAACGGCCATTTTATACATCAACTTCATATATGGCCATTTAAAACATGAACTAATCGTTGACTAACGTTTGAGACATGAAAATTCGTTGACCAGGCCAAAATAGACATACCGTTATGAGTCGTTAACGGAACCTCTAACGTCCGTTATCACCCCTAACGACTCTGTTATTCAACTTTCAAATTGTGGCCATTTTAAACATCAACTTCATATGTGGCCATTTAAAACATGAATTAAACGTTGACTAACATTTGAAACATGATAATTCGTTGACCATGCCAAAATAGACATGTCGTCATCAGTCATTAAAAGAACCTATAACATTCGTTATCACCCGTTAACAACTCTGTTAGTATGTCTAAAACAACGTCGTTTTGAAAATAATCACGAGGAAATCAGAATTTTTCCCAAATAAAAATCTCCAAATCAAAAAGTTTGTTTTAAAGCAGATACTAAGGACATAGTTTGATATAGAGACAATCGCAGAGCTAGTAATTGGAAGCAAACAGAGGCTTTTTCGTTTATATATTTGTTTGAAATCTTAAAAAGGCCACATAGAAGCAAACTTGTAGACCCATCATAGGACTAAATGGAGCTTTTCTGAAATAAGATATAATAGGTCATTTTCTAGCTGCAGTTGGAAGAAATGGAGATAATAGGATATAAAATCCTGATTTTCTCTCGATTATCTTCAAAATGAAGTCATTTTAGACATACTAACAGAGTTGTTAGCGGGTGATAACGGATGTTATAGGTTCTCTTAACGACTGGTGATGACATGTCTATTTTGGCTTGGTCAACGAATTATCATGTTTCAAATGTTAGTCAATGTTTAGTTCATGTTTTAAATGGCCACATATGAAGTTTATGTTTAAAATGGCCACAATTTGAAAGTTGACTAACAGAGTCGTTAGGGGTGATAACGGACGTTAGAGGTTCCGTTAACGACTGATAACGGCATGTCTATTTTGGCCTGGTCAACGAATTTCCATGTCTCAAACGTTAGTCAACGTTTAGTTCATGTTTTAAATGGCCATATATGAAGTTGATGTATAAAATGGCCATTTTTTGAAAGTTTCGGAGATTAAATGAATTTTAAAATAACAATATAAGCCATTTAACATTAATTTAGTTGGAAAATATTGTATTTATCATTGCAATTTTGTTTTAATTCGTTATATGAAAACACAAAAAGATTGAAAAAAGAATGAGCTTATAAGAATGAACTTTTGAATACTTGATGAGAATATTAATATGGTTATACACTTATACTTACGTTTTATTCTAAAAAACTTTAACGCATGTAGTTATAAGTGGAAAACAAAAATTTGGGAAAAATAGCTTATAGGATTGAATTTTCGATTACTTGATGAGAATGTACTATATTTTTTTATTATATTTTATTTATAAATTTTATCTCATTTAAACTTAGTTTTACATGAGGTAAAATTAACTTACGAGTTTACATCATATAGAAAAACTATATTTTAAACAATGTTTGTTTCCAAATTTTTTTGTGGAATTCTGTTTTTTTATAACTATGTTTTGTTATTTGTTAATTATTTTGATATTAACTAAGATACAAATTTGATATTATATACATATTATTAAATATAAAATTGTTAGCACTTATCCATTATGATGATGTGTGTAGAGTTAAAATAGTTTATTATGATGAAAAATAGATAAATTGTACTGCAAAACGAATGTGTAAGACTGAAATTTGGTTATTAAAAATATAAATTAAATATAGAAAAATGATGTGGGTTACTATTTTTAAAATTCAAATATCATCCATAAGATGAAGTGTGTTAAATTAAAATTTACTTTATTATGATGAAATAGATAGTTAAAATATATAACAAAATGAAGTGTGTAAATTAAAATTTTGTTTAAAACAAAAATTATTAAATTAAATATTAGGAAATGTATGTGAATTACTATTAGTATTTACTATTCAAAATCCAAATATCATCGATAAAACTAAAAGTATGTGAATTACTATTTACTATTTAGGCGAGATTTATCTAGTTACATAGATTTCTTAATTTAAATGGTAATCATAAATACTGTGAAACTTATGGTTTATTGGTTCATGGATTTATAAGGAATTGGAAATCCAAACAAAATCATTTGTTATTCAATCATTGATTTTAAAATCCTAATTAAAATCATGTGTTATTGGTTCTATGATTTATAAATACTAGTTAAAATTCTATGTTATTCGTTTGGAGGGGTTATTGGTTCATAGATTTATAAGGAATTAGAAATCCACACAAGAATCATTTGTTATTCAATCATTGATTTTAAAATCCTAATTAAAATCATGTGTTATTGACTTATTGGTTCTCTGATTTATAAGTACTAGTTAAAATCCTATGTTATTCGTTTAGTCATTTGTGTTTGGATTTGAGAAGCCAAATTATGTTTTAAATGGATTTGAATGGAATTGAAAGAGAAAAATAGATTGATTCAAATCCATGGGTAAACATATGTTATTTCATAATTAATAGATATTTTCAAATCCTATATGGATTTACAAATCAATAAACTAATAACACCCATCATTTGTTTTTAGATTCGAGAATCCAAATTATGTTTTAAATGGATTTGAATGGATTTGAAAAAGAAAAATAGAAAGATTCAAATCCAAGGGTAAACACATGTTATTTCAAAATCCATATGTAGATTTCATAATTAATAAAAAAAATTAAATCATATATGGATTTACAAATCAATAAACCAATAACACTCCCTTAAAAGTAGATTTGTTAAAATTTTTTTTTTGTACTTTACACTAATGGCAATTACATAGATTTAATTTAAATGGTAATCATAAATACTGTAAACCTAAAAGTAGATTTGTTTTTTGTATGTCATTTATGATATTCAAAACAAAAATAATATCATAATTTCTCTTGAATATGATAAGATCTAGTTATTTAAGAAACCTAAAATAGCTGGATCTTGATTGGTTTGATTGATTCCCTACACAACGAGAAGATCGATCCCGTCATCAAAGATTGTGCACACTATTATTAATTTGGTATAATATACAAATTGCAATTGGACCATGTATGTCAACATCATTGTATATTTATATTTTTATAAATAAACGTGAAACTGTATTTCTAGTTTTCTACAAAAGCGAACGCGTCTTATTATAGTTTAACGAATGCTAATACCAAGCAATTTAACAGAATATATATATATATATATATATATATATATATATCTGTAATTCTGTATCGTTCTTCTTAAGCTACATAAAACATTTTATAATTACGTGTATTATCGACGGTCAATAAGAAAGTATAGTTTTAGCTAATTCTCCCAAATTCATATATTAATAATTTCGGTCAGATTTTATCTATATATATATGTACTAGTATCACTTATTCACCATAATGTATGAAATAGAAAACGCTTGGACTATTCAATAAATTAAATCCTTGATCCGTGCATTGCAAATCTTCATCTCATACTCTCCTCTTCTTCTTTGTCAATGGGGGAGCAACCGTCACGTAGCGGAAGTTCGGGGATCAACGCCGTGTCCTCCGACGTTTTACGGTCTAACATCCTCACCCGCCTCGACGGCTCCTCTCTCGCCGCCTTGAGCTGCACGTGCTCAAACCTAAACTCTTTCTGCTCCGACGAGTTCCTCTGGAGGCAACAATGTTCCGCCACATGGCCTTCTACCTTAGATACACGTGTCCAAAGCATCATCTCAACGTTCCCCGCCGGTCATCGGCAGTTTTTCTCCGATGCTTTTCCGTTTCTTGAACATGATGGTGTGATCAATCTCCCACCGTCCGTTGATACGACGGAGTTAATCTCAGCCGTTGATATATTCTACAAAGGTGATGTGATATTCTCAAGGGTTCATGTGACAGAGACAGTCTCTGGTTGGTTCCTTTGTTCACCTATGCGTGTCGATCTTGTCGAACCGAAAGAACTGATTTCGACAAAAGTTTCAGTGGTCAACCAATGGGAAGATGACACGTGGAAAAGTGACTTGGAAAAGAATCTCTCCTTGAGCTGGATTCTCATTGACCCGACCGGTAAACGTGCGGCGGATGTATCAACCCGTAAACCCGTCTCGGTGCAACGTCATTGGTTAACTGGAGAAGTTCACGTAAAATTCTCAACAATTTTTGTCGTGGGCAACAAGAAAAGGTCGGAGCAAGTAGAGTTCACGGTGACGGTGGTGCTGGCGGCGTTTAACCGGAGGGAAGAGGAAGCGGCGGTAATGCAGATAAGAGAGGTGAGCCTAGTAGCAGAGGACAAAGATGGGAAAAATTTAGGAGGGAATGGTAGTTTGGTAATTTTGGCGGCGGCCATGGGGAGGAAGCGTCGGTTTAGGGCGGGTGGGGAAGGAGGAGGGAAAGAGAAGTACTTAGAATTCATGGAGAGGAAGACCGCGAAGGCGGAGATGAAGTGGCGGCGAGAGAAAGAAACGGCTATGGAGACGGCGGCGTGTTGGATCGCCGTCCTCTTACTTGGTTTTCTTTTGTGTTTTTATCTGTTTATACATAAAAATATGGTAGCTATTATGAAAAGACTAATAAAATAGTTAAATAATGTGTTTGGATTCAACCAAAATGAAAATTTTATTACTTCAATGGAATGTGTGGCTTTATTCAAAGTGGAATTGAATCGGAATCTCTCAACCACTGAACCCTCAACCACTGCATCACCACCATATTGCTATAGTAACTATACAGTCTATACTACTATAGGTTATAGCAATGTGTTATCTTAATTTGACGTTCAAATAATTGCATGTCTTGTCTTAATAACTTATTAAATATTCAAATATGTTATCTTACTTTGACGTTCAAATATGTTAGCCTATCACTGTCCTGTTTGATTCTGCTAATTAAGGACAAATTAGTTACGTTGTAATGCCTTTTTTTTAATAGAAAGAAGAAGAAAGCATCCACTCCTTCAAACTTAAATAGTATTCACTATTCAGTCTTCACTTTAGCAATTTATTAAACATTTTAAAATGTATAACACCAAAGATCCGTGTTTGACATATAAAGGAGAAATAAAAGTCTACAAGAAAACATTATTCGTAAAATCATGGAAGCGACTGGGGATGGTGAAGGACTGAAGGCATTGCAATGCACAACGGTGCCAAAAAAACATTTAATAGGCGTAAAGACTCGATGATAATTTTAAATTTGTAGTTGACAAAAAAAATTAAACTAATTTTGCTCACTTAATTTTTTTTTGTTTTTAAATTACCAAATTAAATATATAATATATTTTTGTTTCCATGCATTTAAGACATTGCAACGACGGTTGGATCATCTTCAAAAAGTAGGTTATATTTCGACAACAATAAATGTTGGAAATTTGTCGAAAATTCTTCAAAAACTTATAGTTTTAACTGTTTTCCAACAATACCAAATCTGTCCGAACTGGAGCGTCAAAAACCCAAATTTGTAAGAAAGCTTGTCAGAGACAATTTTCGGAGTTTTGTCGGAAATATTCTATGGAGTTTCGTTTCGATGACATTTTTGTCAAAAATTACTGATAACTTTTTGAGAAAACTCCGTAGGAAAATTACGGGCACTGGCATGGGACTCTCTATTTCAAAGTTTGATCAAGCAAGAACCTTTTCCAAAGCTTTGGGCAACAACAACATAATGTTCTTTGTTTTTTGTTCTATGTCAGGAAACAAATAATCATGATGACGAGGGAAATCCTTACGGTGGTAGTAGAACTTGCAAGCTAACAACACGAAACATCACCTTTGATCACAATGTGAAGCATAGACGATTTCCGTGAACACAATAAAGATCAATTCCTACATAAAAACAAAATTTATTAGGAGTCTTACATTAAAAGTTAGAAAGGGCTTAATCATATATATATAAAAGGATATACGGGTTATTCCATGTCGAAACTCCTAAATTTTGACATGGTTTAGAGTCTAGATTAATGACCCAAGTTATGTATGTTAACGATCATAAAAGAAGTTCTAGATTCACTAGGAAATTTCAGATCAACAATAACTTTGGACCTAATCTGCTATTGTGTAAGGAATCAGAAACCTTAGCCAATCCAATGTCATACGATTTTGAAATAAATTAAACCAATATTCTTGAAGTGGTCTTCGCAAGATGTGGGACAACACCTAGTTAGTTATTTAAAGAGAAGGGCAATTGCATGTCTTATCTAACTCACTAGCTCTAATCATATACAGTAAGACCTTTATAAATTAATAATTTCGAGACTATGATATTTCCTAATTTTAGTTAGCGGTCCCTCATTATCCTATCTGATTCTATTGGAGATAATTAAGTAATTTCGTAGTGACTTTTCAAACTCACATTGACTCAGACGGCCAAATCCCTTATATATTAATAGAGAAGCACTCTAAAAAATAAACCTTACTTTTACGTGTTATTAACTAAACTGCCATGCTGACGTGTCGTTTTCAGAGTGATTTTTCATCCATTTAAATTATTACCCAAATTTTACTAGACTATTTACAGATTTTGCCATTAGTCTTAATACATACATATATCACACAAATAAAAAACGAAATTATAACTAAAAAACAAATAATTAGGCAACTAATTTTCATATTTATATTTAACAACAATTCACGAGAGCTTTGTTTATTTATATTAGTGATCTATTTTTTAATAATTAAAAAACATACATTTTTTGTTTATCTTATATTAATAAATCTTTATATTTATATTTTTTTATATATATTTATATAAATCTTCTCAAGCCGATGGGTAAACAATCTTTATATTTAATTTATATTTATATTATGTTTACATTTAAATAATAAAATATATACATTTAGTTCAAGAATCTCGAATTTAAAACTACAAAATCTCCACATCTTTCATAAATAATTAGGCAACTAATTTTCATATTTGTATTTAACAACAATTCACGAGAGCTTTGTTTATTTATATTAGTGATCTATTTTTTAATAATTAAAAAACATACATTTTTTGTTTATCTTATATTAATAAATCTTTATATTTATATTTTTTATATATATTTATATAAATCTTCTCAAGCCGATGGGTAAACAATCTTTATATTTAATTTATATTTATATTATGTTTACATTTAAATAATAAAATATATACATTTAGTTCAAGAATCTCGAATTTAAAACTACAAAATCTCCACATCTTTCATAAATAATTAGGCAACTAACTTTCATATTTGTATTTAACAACAATTCACGAGAGCTTTGTTTATTTATATTAGTGATCTATTTTTTAATAATTAAAAAACATACATTTTTTGTTTATGTTATATTAATAAATCTTTATATTTATATTTTTTATATATATTTATATAAATCTTCTCAAGCCGATGGGTAAACAATCTTTATATTTAATTTATATTTATATTATGTTTACATTTAAATAATAAAATATATACATTTAGTTCAAGAATCTCGAATTTAAAAGTACAAAATCTCCACATCTTTCATAAATTTAGAAATCTATTGTACTTAAATACATAAGATAATCTCTTTTCAATATATGTTACAAATACTTAAAATCCGATTTTTTTGGAGGGATTCTAACTTTTCGAAGAAAAACTAACCACATTTATTTATAAACTAAAATCTGGCCCTATTATAACCATTTCGTAGTAATCCATTCATAATCTAAGAATCTTAATTTGGAAACTACAAAATCTTAACTTGGAAACTATCAAATCTCATCTTTGATAAATTTTTGGATTTCTTATACTTAAATCTCGACATCTTTTTTTTTTTTTTTTTATCATTCTCGACATCTTTAAAACATATAGAAAGGCATATTGGCATAAATAGTAACATTTCGTCAATACTTTCTTTATCACGTTGAAGCTTTATTCCAGGTTCAAATATTTCACGGGTAAAACGTATTCATATACGAAATAGTCCCAAATTTGAATTAAAAAAAATAAAAAAATTATTACATGTTTCGTTTTACACAAACGGAACTTGGATCCCAGATAAAAAATTTAATCATAATAATTTTACTTGGATCACTTCATCCCGCACATAGTGCGGGTTGTTATCTAGTTGACTAGTATGTACCTTGATAAGTACCTTTACCTTAATTCTATTATAAAAATAGAAGGCACGTGAGAAACAGAGATGAAGCACGTGTGAGGGAGACTCATCTTAGTTCATTCACATTTACTTATAAATGCTAGGGTTGTTGTAGAGAAGAGTTTATGCATTGTATTGTGTTTTGAAGCAGTAATGTGTCTTGTGATGTGCTTGGAAGGTTCTCTTCTATACGATGTATCAATTGTGTAAGAAATAAATATTCAAAGTTCCATTCTTAACATATTCATTCTTGACTATATGTTTTTCAGTTTCCATGTCTCTTTTAGACCATGCAATAGCAACTTATCACAACATCAAAAGATCTGTGTTTTGACATACACAGGAAAAATAAAGAATAGAACTAAAATCAAAGCGATTCAATCAACACTTGAATTGGATAAACGTTATGACACAAAATTTGAATACAAGAGGAGAGGACCAATTGGGTTTATTTGAACAATATAGATCTTAATTACCATATCCAATTGGTTCTCTTACATTATTGAAGAGAAAGATTAAACAAACTTGAACTTGAACATAAATTTTAAAACACAACAGAACATTTTTGAAGTTGACTCCATACGAGTGACATTGACTCCAGCAGATGAATGCCAAAAACTCGACTATTTGTTTGAATCATCCTCCGGTTTCTCCACCTTTGTCACGAATGTAACCGGTTTCTTCGGGTGCTCATTTACAGTCAAGTTAAAAATATCTGGCTTTGAGTAATGTCCAACCACATCGAAGTATAACTTGGCTCTTGCTATATCACCAAGATCTTGATGAAAAAAAGAACGTTATCAATATGATTAGCTCAAAAAGTTAACATTTGTCCATAGCCTAAAATGAATATAAAGAAGACTAGAAGAGTGTGTATATATATATACCAAGATCAGCTGTGACGAGACCCTCTGATTCATAGTTTGGTCCGGCGAGAACCTGTCCCAAAGGTGAAATAATGACACTTCCGCCTCCGGAGACAGTAGGATCATGTTCTTTAGTGTCTACTATGTCATTAAACAAGTAATCAGGATGTTCAGGGAACTCTTTGCGCTTGCAGAATTGATGCGCTGACAACACGAAACATCCACCTTCTACCGCAATGTGAATCATCGATGCTTGCCATTCCAACGAATAATCAGCAGTAGGTGCACAATAAATCTCAATGCCTGCGCACCAAAAATCGCAAATTTATTAGGAATCTTATATCAAAAGCCGGATATGTCACACTACATTGCATTGAAGGCTGACCTTTAGCATACAATGCAGTTCTGTAGAGGGGCATCCTATTCTCCCAGCAAATAGCAGCACCGATTTTGCCAATGGGAGTGTCGTAAACGGGGATGGTTGATCCGTCCCCTTGACCCCATATGCAACGTTCCAAAGATGTAGGCATGACTTTCCGGTGCTTACCCAAGAACCGACCTTGTGGACTGAAGAAAAGAGCTGTGCAATAGAGTGTATAACCATCCTTCTCTATAGCACCCATTACCAAATGCACATTGTTTTTTCCGGCCAATTCAGCCAATCTTTCTACTTCAGGGCCTGTAGATTCATTACAACATTTACAAGAGTACATAAACATATACAAGAAAGAACCATTTTGTGATCTAAGATTTGAGAGTGATCAACTAAACTAGAGCTATAACACTCATAGTGACAAAAACAGAGAACTCGAAATGAAACATGTTTTTCCTAAGAGTTAAGTTTACTTTGTTTCAAATAAAATTCAACTGTCCTCAAGACTCCAACCACAAATAAAAATCATATTCCAGATTTCCGAACCCTTATGCGTAGCAAAGGATCCG